CGCCTGATCGGTGGCCTAGAGCAGCTTCCTCCAGGGTGCCTGGTGAGGCTCTTCCCTGGAGCCCGTGCTGCTTTCCTGTCTGACCAGTGGCCTGGAACCCATCAGTTCAATCTCTTAAATTTCACGGCCTTCAAACCTCAGTTCAGCCCGGGTCTCTGTGATGATGGGGGGAGGGGTGGGGAGAGCGAGTGCTGTGGGGTGCTCTTTCCTGGGCTCTCCTCCACTCCGTAGGGCCCTCCCTCTCTTCTCCCCATCCAGGGAATCCCAGGAATGCCACCCTCCTTCCTCCCTTCCTCTCCCCTTCACTCCCTCACAACCTTGGGGGGCAGGGCAGGAGAATTAGGCTGGAGGGAGCAGGTGAGAGGGGGAGGGGAGCAGGCTAGGGCACCTGGGGGGAGGTGGGAAGAGCAGAGCTGTGGGTTGGAAGGGTCACAGGTCAGATGGGGGGTCACAGATCAGACTGTCCAAAGCTTCTCACAAGCCAGGTCTGACTGGGGCAAAATCCTCTGGGGGTGGGGGTTGGGGGGCGGGAGAAATGTCACTGGTTATATAGGGAGTAGCTAGCCCTGGACACTGGTCAGAATGAGGGGGGGGTGGTCACTGGTGGTCACTGGTAAGATGCCTTTGCCCATCAGACACGGAAGGAAGGCTTCAATTACAGGTCAGCTTGGGAGTTGTTGGTCAGACTGGTCAAGGTGCTACTTTCTTCTTTGGTGATACAGGAGAGCAACCGTTACACCGGCAGAAGAGACCCTTTAGTATTAGTCACACCATTGCCTCCTCCGGGATGCCCTCCCCGCTCCCTGGCTGGATCAAGGGCTCCCACAACCCCCTGGGCTCCCCCACCCCAGTCCTGCACACTCTGGGTCATCCTGGAGATGACCACCACTCTGGGGATTAAGCTGTCCCCTCACATGGACTGTAAATCCATGAGGGCAGGGCCGGGGCGGTCTCTGTTGGTCACTGCTGTGTCCCCAGCATAAGGCCAGACACAGAGCAAGCGCTCAGGGAAGGTTTGCAGGGCTCAAAAGGCAGGAGCACACGGGCTCACTGGATCACCGCAGGACACATGATACAAAGTCACTCATGGACATGGGGTGCCTGGGTGGCTCAGTCGGTCAAGCATCTGACTTTGGCTCAGGTCAAGATCTTGCGGTTTGTGGGTTCGAGCCCCGTGCCGAGCCCCGTGCCAAGCCCCGTGTTGAGCTCTGTGGTGACAGCCTGGAGCCTGCTTCAGGTTCTGTGTTTCCGTCTCTTCTCTGCCCTTCCCCCGTTCGTGCTCTGTCTCTCTCTCTTTTTCTCAAAAATAAATAAACATTAAAAAAAAAAATCACACTCACTCCTGGACAAATACACCTTCAAGGGCTCGTGTCCCTGTTGCTTGGGCTGGACCCTAGTAGGCACCCTCTCATCAGTCCATCTTCCTCAAGAATCCAACCAGCCAAGGGTCTAGGTGGAGAGAAGGACTGGTGTGGAGTGTGAATGAGGGAGGGAAGGCATAAATACCAGCCACAGTCCCTCACAGACCTGCAGAAACGGGTACCCTAACGTCATCTGCCCTTATCCCCTACAATTTCTTCCCACAAAACAGCCGGAGGGATCCCGTTAAAATGGGAGTCAACCCACATCACTCTTCTGCTCAGAATCATTCCAGGGTTCCTCCCAAAGTAAAAGCTAAAGTCTACTCCATGGCTCACCAGGTCCTCAATCCTTGGTACCTCCCTGACCCCATCGTTCTTTCTCTTCCCCTTTGCTAGCTCTGCTCTTGCCACGCTGGCCACTTTGCTTCCGAGCCATTCCTCCGATGCCAGCCGTGTGCTGGCCTCAGGACCTTTGCACTTGCTCCTCCCTCTGCCGGGACATTCTTGTCCACACAGCTCCCTCCTTTGCTGGCTTCAGAGCTCTTCTCCAACATCACCCTCATCAGTTTCCCTTGACCATCTTATTTCAAATAGCAATTCCTGCTATCCCAGCCATTCCTCATTTCCCTTATCTTACTACATTTTCCCTCCATAGCACTGATGCAACAAGCCCTAAGAGAACCGAAACTTTGTTCTGTTTACCACTGAATCTCCAGCGCCTAGAACAGTGCTTGGTGGGAGGAACAGAGTAAATACGAATGGAATAAACGAATTTCCTAGTCCCATCCTTCCTGTCTCATATGCATATAGTACACATTTCACATTTGTTTATTTTTTTATAACTATTTTTTTCTATTTATTTGAAGCACAGTAAAAAAAAAAATTGGTGCACTTTGGAAACTCAGTGGCATAGTTATTTAATTTTTTAAATGTTTATTTATTTTTGAGAGAAAGAGAGCGAGCGAGAAAGCCCAAGCAGGCTCTGTGCTGTGAGTGCAGAGCCCGATGCCGGGCTCGAACTCACAAACTGTTGAGATCATGACCTGAGCCGAAATGGGAGAGTTGGCCGCTTAACCGACGGAGCTACCCAGGCGCCCCCACATTTTATCCATTTCATTGTGTTTTAGGGAGAGAGCGGGTGGGGGGGGGTGTGGTGCAGAGAGAGCCCCCACACGAGGCTCCCTCCCGTGACCTTGGGTTCATGACCTGAGCTGAAATCGAGTAAGAGTCTGCCGTGCAATGGACTGAGCCTCCCAGGTGCCCCTGGTGTCACCACTTACGCGTTGTCATTAACAAGCCTCATTTTTCCTCTACAGCCCCGCCCTCCCCCCCATCCTCAGCTTCCCTTTCCAGGTTGCTTGCCCTCAACAGTGGCCCTGGAAGCAGATGATTCTCCTTTTGAAGTCCATTTAGGAAGGGCAGGTGTAGCCCAAGTTTGTGTCCTCATGCTTAAGTCATTCCCCTTGCTTTAGCTTATTCCGTGGGCCTTTCATTGTCTCCCGTCATCACAAGAAGGGCGAGTACAGTACAGACGGTACTCCCAGGGAGAGACCACAGTCACGTAACTTCGATCAACGTAGATTGTTTTCACTGTTCTTTTTCGTCGTTAGGTGTTGCTCATATCTTAGTGTACCTAGCTTGTGAATTGAACTGTATCGTAGGTTTGTCCAGACATCCACACACCAAGTCGCTAGTCAAAAACATGAAGTATGGCTGCCGTCCGATACCCTCTGTGGTTGCAGGCATCCGGTCGGGGTCTTGGAACCGTCCCCCTCGTGGATAAGGGGGACCAGTGTGCCCATCATTGTACACACACTGTGCGATGGTCCACTTTAAACTAGTTCACAGCTTGGGCAACACGGGACCAGGATACATTTGGAGGGGAATGGTGATTTCCCCCGTCATTCCAGATTTGCGTCTGGAGGATGGAACCATCGGGAGTCTGTGTTGTCTCGGAGGTCACTGTGTGTGCATTTTGGGTTGGACAACAAGAGTTAGCTGTGCAGGGAAAGTTTAGATAAGAACTTTAAAAAAAAAAAAAAACGTTTTCTATTTATTTATCTTCAAGTAATCTCTGCACCCAATGTGGAGGCTGAGCTCACAGTCCTGAGGTCGAGAGTCACACGCTCTTCCTAAAAGTGTTCGACATGTATTCATCTTTGAGAGAAACAGAACGTGAGTGGGGGAGGGGCAGAGAGCGAGGGAGACGCAGAATCCGAAGCGGGCTCCCCGCTCTGAGCTGTCAGCACCGAGCCCGACGTGGGGCTCGAACTCGCGAACCGCGAGACCATGACCTGGGCTGAAACCAAAGGGTTGGATGCTCAACTGACGGAGCCACCCAGCTGCCCCCGTCCTGCTATGCTTTGAATCGGGAACTAATAATGCCAAAAACCGGGGACTGGTTCCTCTCTTCTTCCCTCACGTGGCTGGGACCCGTTCTATTTTCCTAAGATGCCTGCGACGGTATCTCTCGTTCCGTATGCTACAGCCCCATCTTGACGCTCCACTGAGAGGGGGGCGTCTAGGTCCCTTCCTCTTACATCTGTGCCCTTTGGGGACTCACGTGCAAAGATGAGAACGGGGCAGGGGTGATGCTGCAGGACTCCCAAGATTAGGTAGCCTCTGCCTGGGTCACTGGAAACTTCTCCATCAAGCCTTCAGCCACCACGTAAGCAGCCAGACTGCCTCAGGGGACCACGCTGTGGGGGTGGGGCGGGGCGGCGCCTAAACTAGAAGCCAGGCCACCACCCGGAGAGGTGTGACTGCACCCTGCCCAGAACCACAGGGCCGAGCCCTTCCCCAAATCCTGGCCCCGGAGAGATTCTGTTCCCTTTCACGGCTCACTTTCCCATCCCGGTCCCCTAAAAATCGTTCCCCTCTGCACTGGGATACCTTCCCCACATCTTTTCAGTTCCAGCTCGGATGTCTCCTCCTGGAGGCCCTCCCTGACCTCCCAGGCTGGGTCAGCTGCCCGCTCTGGGCCCCTGTGGCGTCCCAGTTTCCCCCATCCCAGCCCTGCCCGCTCTGGGTCGTCACTATCTGTCCTCCACTGGACTGTGAGCCACCGGAGATGGGGGGGGGGGGGGGGGGGGTGGCGGGTAGTGATTACTGCGCCGTGCCAGCCTCATCCAGCCTGGGCTGGGCCCAGGGCAGGGTAGGGCTCACGGTTTAAACCGAAGTGGAGGGAGGCTTGAACCTCCGAGATGAGTGATGAGCGAGGGAGACACTTGTTCAGTTTGATTTGGACTGGAAATCACTGTTACTCTGGGAGAAGATCCCAGGGAGGGATGGAAGAAAGAGAAGGTTAGGAACGCTGCGCAAGACCAGGTGTGTAACTCTTAAAGAAACGAGAGATCTTTTGGAGTAGGGGCTTGGGACTTGGATATCTGGGCCTGGGTTCAGGAATTAGTATTATTTTTTCATTAATGGGGTGAGGGGGTTGGTTGCCTGATTCTGTGAAAACTTGGGACTCCGGGCTCCTGGGTCTGAGGGAGGAGGCTGGCGGCCTGGACTGTTGGATCTGAGGGAGGAGGCTGGAGGACTGGACTCCTGAATCCAGAAGAGCTGGGTTCCCCACCATTGCCCCTCCAGACCCCTGGATTCAGCAGGTGGCGATCAGGCCTCAAGGACCACCTGTTCCCAATGTCAAGCTGCCCCCTGGTGGCTGCTATAGTTTTCTCCACACATCAGACGACAGACCAGGCTTGGCAGTTTATTATTCACAAACCCCTTGCAGCCGCTGGGGCTCCCTTTAGCAGCACGTGTGGTGCCCTGCAAGGCAGAAAGAGAGGTGGGTCAGATAGTATCCCAGTCAGGTTGGGGGACAGGGCAGGGCCAGGCCGAGGGAACCTGGCCAGCGCTGGGGTGGGGTCGACTCACCGGCCCCCATGCCTGGGCAGCGATCACGGGCCCCACGGGGGGGCAGCCGGAGGGGTGACTTTTCCTTTAGGAGTTTCTGCAGTGGAGAGAGTTTGAAGAGGGGCTACTGATTTTCTGGAACCAGTGTTCTTCCCTTCTGCCCCCCATTCCATCCTCCTTCAGACCTGGGAGCCCTGGACCCCAGCTGTCTCTCCACTCACCCTGTGGCTCCCTCCCTGGCCTGAGGGTTGGAGGTGATTTTCCAGGGGGCTAAGGCCACAGTCTTAATTCTTGGCAAGGGTAGCGGGCCCTGAAGTCTGGGGAGGGCCAGAGGTACCTGGAGGGGAGGAGATTAAGAAGTGTCACAGCTGAGCTGCAGCGAACTGTCATTTCATAGGCCCAGATGGTGGTAACACATGGGTGGCTGGGGGCCAGGAGGAGGGAGGGACAGCCCAACAGTCTCGTCCTTGTCCATGCTGCTTTTTTCCCTAGCACCTCTGGCTCGAGTAGGAAGTTCTGTCCGTCCGGCCGTTCATCCATCCATCCATCCGTCCATCCATCCAACTCACAAGCATTCCCGGAGCGTCTACAGTGTGGGGCCAGGCACCCTTCTAGGCTCTGAAGAGACAGCCATGAACCAGGCAGACAAAAATCTCTGTCCTCGTGCCGCGGATAAATTTACCGAGCAAAAGACTTACCATGAGTAATCAATGCATGAACAAGGAACTATCCACAGAGTATTAAGTGACCTTCAGGGAACTGGAATAGGCCTGGGGGGGACTGGGGGGCGGCTGGGGAAAACCTCTTAGAAGGAGGGCGATGGAACACAAGGCTGAGTGTGACAAGGAAGTAGGCAGAGGTCCTGTGGTGGGCGGTGGGCTTATGGCCTGTTAGGACAGCAGTAGTCCCTTGTTGCTGAAAAGGAATTGGGGGGGATGGTAGGAGGTCAGAGAGGTGGAGACGGGTCAGGTCTCCAGGCCCTGTGAGCTGTGGAGGGTATGTTGGCTTTTTCTTGGAGCCCTGGGGGAATTAGTGGGGGCTTCTGAGAGGTCAGGGAGGGGTATGATCCAGGTTACGTAACCCACGCTTGCTGACTTCATCGGGACCTGTGGGGCCCACGCCGGGCTGATTGCCATTCTCCACGTGGAGACAGCGAGGACGGGAGAGGTCCCCAGTGGCCAGCAAGGGGCCAGGGTCCCGCCGAATGACGATCTTGCTGCCTAGGGGTGGGTTTCTCAGACGGAGGACAGCACACGCAAACCGTACCCACATTGCCACTGGCCTCTGCCATGATGCGCATTTCACAGACAAGGGAAGAGAGGCCCACAGGAGTGGAGGACGGAGTCTGGAGTCTCGAGCCGCGGGCCTGGGATCCATTCCTCACCCTGTCATTTTGAGCCGATGGCCTCCACATCTCCGAGGCTCGGTGTCCCGTGCTTTACGGCAGGGATCACAACAGTACCCACCTCACGGGGGCTGTCATGACCGCCAAAATTAATACACGAAACACAGGGCCGGGTGCCCAGCAACTCAGACACACGTTAACACGTTAACTATGCTCATTACGGCCGTCACTTTGCTGGGAGGCAGGACCCCCGGGGGCCATCCCTCTTACAGCATGTTTTGAAGAACCAAGGGGGTAGGAGTTGACTGGAATTTGAATCAGGCAGGGTTTGGGGAGAAGAGGAGAGGGCACGCCAGGCGGAGGGCACAGCCCGGGCCAAGGTGTGCCCACGTGGCCGGAGGCGCCCCCCC